CTGCCCTGTGTGGACAGGAAGCCCAGAGAGGAAACAAATAGCCCATGTGAGAGGTGTTTGGGAGGAGGCTGAGGGGCTCTTCCTCCAATCCCCTCCAGGGAGCATGGAGCAGGGACCACAGCTCAGATGCCCGCAAAGAGCCAGGTGAGGCATTAGTTGGAGCAGTCCGGCTCAAGGTGCCCAAATTCTGCATTAAAACCAAGAGCACCAAGAAATGCTGTGCAGTGTGACAAATCCTGCCGCAGAGGTGGGACTGAGTCAACGCACCATTTCTGCCCTGGAAGGCGAGGGGCGGAGGGTGCGAATTTGTGGGGCTGCAGTAACAAAGCACCCGAAACTGGGGACTTAAACAACAAACGTATTGTCTCATGGTTCTGGAGGCTGGAAGTGTTGGCAGGGCGTGCTCCTCCTGAAGCTTCCAGGGGAGACACTCCCAGCTTCTGGCAGCCTGATTCCAACCTCTGCCTCCATCTTAACGTGGCCATCTTCCCTCTGTGTCTGTGTCTGTATCCAAGTTCCCCTCATTTTATACGGACACCAGTCATATTGGATTAAGGGTCCACCCTACTCCCATATGAACTCAACTCATTATATCTGCACTGACCCCCTTGTTCCAAATAAGGTTACAATCTGAGGTGGCCTGGTCTTTTGGAGGGGCACAATTCAAACCCAAAGTCTGAGGTCCCATTCCACTGAAGGCTTGTCAATCTAGGAGTAGCACCTAGCTTTGCTAAGCCTTTTGTTTGTTTTTGCCTGTCTTGTGTTTCTAGCTTACATAAGCTTCCTCCTTCCCATCAAACTGGCAAAGCCAGAGCCCCACTAATATTTAGTGACTGACGCCCCCTCGCTCTGCAGGAGAGGCACGGCGGGCCTGAATGACTTCTCATAGGGCTGTGCTCCCCATTTCAGGGCGGGTTTCTTGTGCTTGGAATGCTGGCTCCTTTCTGCTCTGAAAGCCGCTGAAGGCTGGGCCTGCGGCTGCCTAGGTGCTAGTTGTGGGGAACTGCTCCCCTCTGTTGGACAGAGGGAAACCTGCTCTCCTTCCATTTCTTAGGGATTTGCTTCCCCGAAGTCACAAGTTCATAAACCCACAGTAAGAGCGCGAAGGGGCCAGAGGTCAGCGGGTCCAGTCCCCTTCGTTGTTCAGAGAGGGAGGCTGAGGCCAGAGAGGGAAAAGGCCCTGTTGAAGGCCACAGAGAGAGTTAGGGAGATGGGATCAGACACGAGCTCCTCCCTCCCACACCAAGGTCTGGGAAGCATCCCTTAGGATCCTAGAGGCACAGGCTGGAAGAAAACCAGAGTGGGGCTCCTGGGAATCCCACACATACCTTAGCTTGGAGGACAAATGGCAGAAGGCAAAAGAGAAGTGGTGGGTACCTCACTCCAAGTAGGGGCATGAGAAAGCTGGAGAGCTACTGGCCCAGAGAAGTGTACCAGGACCACCAGTCAAGTCCCCTCACTCGGGATAATTCCCCATCAACTGAGTGAGTGATCCCAGCACAGCCCAACTCCACACTCCTAAAAAGTCATGTATCAACAGAACTTCTGTAAATCAAATGCTGTCTTCACTCTCTCCTTCTTTCTCCTGTGTCCCAGATATCTTTATCATCTTTCTCAGAGCTGGCCCATGGTAGTATGATAGTTCGGGCAAGCTTACTGCTCTAACAAATAGACCAGAATGTATCACAGCTCAATGCAATAGAAATTCACTTTTTGCTCATGTCAACAGTCCAAACAGCTTATCAGAAGGGGTGAGGGGCAACAGGCTCTGTTCACACAGTCACTCAGGGCCCAGGGTCTGCCATCTTTAACATGTGGACATCAACATCCAGCCAACAGAAAGGGAAGGGCACAGAGGACAGCACACGGGAGTTCTTCTAGGCTGGGCTGGGAAGTAGTGTGTGGCAAATTCAATCATGTTCCATTGGCTGGAATTCAAAGGATCCAGAAGGGACCAGACAAAACTAAATCTAAACCTGACTTAAGTGTTGATCCGATGGGAGGTGTGGCACCACAAGAACGTGGCTCACAGAGCTCCTACTACAGGGAGTGTCACCGACCGAGGACCCCAACTGCTGCCCTTTGAAATCTATGATGGTGCTGGTGCTGAGGCATGTCTCCTGCAGGCTGCTCCCTGCCAATGACTGAGTGCAGCCCACACACCATGGCAGATGGTTCCTATGAGTATCAGGGACTCTTGTGTTGTCAGCCTGGTTCCAGAATGCCCCCAATGGCTTTGCTGAACCTTTCTGAGACTACGTGGCAGGCTAGGATGCTTCACCCAGCTGTTGCTCCCTCACCTTCACTTGGGGTCGGATGGGCATCATGGTCTGGTGGTTCTCCTGAACTCCCTGATTCCTACTTCCTTTCATTTTCCCTAATAAAATCCTGGCACACTTAATCCTGACTGGTGTCTGCATCTTGGAGGAGCCAGTCTAACACAGGAGTCAACTCTCTGGTATTGACTACTCCAACTCCGTTGGAGTCACTTAGCGCAGGTGGTGAAGACAGACAAGACTTGTTGAAGAAAAGATGCTCTGGGTACACCCAGAACTTGCAAATGTCATATAGAGGTACCAGGGGTTAGGATACAACATGCTTTTTTAGGGGACACAATTTGACCCAGAAGTGTCTCCACACTCAGCTGGGTGACTCCTTCCCACATTTTCCCAGCAGGATTGTTCTTCAGTTCTTCACAAGGGCTTTTCCAGACCTTCTCCACCCTCCCCAACATCACAGCCAAGCAATGATTCCCTGCCGGCAACAAATGACTTTGCTTCCTCCTTCACAGAAAACCGAACACTGACAGAAGGGAAGTCCTCCTGCACAGAGCATCTGTCTCTACCTTATCCATCTTCTTCTCCTGCCCTCCCTCACCATATTCTTCCTCAGCCCTAATCCATATCATGCTTTACAAATCCCTTTGCTCTGAGGCAGGGATGCTGCTTCTCCCCACTTTTCTCTGTACCAGGAAATGACACCACAATCTACCCATTTGCTCAGGCCCCCAATATCCACAAGTCCATCTTTGTGATTTTCTTTTCCTGACTCTCCTTCTTCCTCTAACATGACTAATCCATCAGTATGCCTGATTTGCTTTACCTTCCAAGTATTTCCTGAAACCAGCCCGTCTCAGCATGTCCACCGTTACTCCTCCAATCAGGAAATCTAACTGGTAGTTAGAAAAACCTCTTAACTGCTTTCCCTGTCCCCATTCTTGTCTCATTCCAGCCCAATCTCCACACACAGCCAGAATGATAATCTTAAAACAGACATCAGACCATTTACTCCCCTGCTTAAAATGCTTCAGCAACTCCCCATTGCAGATGAAAATACTTTTTTTTTTTTTTTTTTTTTATCATGGCCTACAAGACCTATATGATCTGGACTTTGTAGACTTCTCTGATCTTGTTTCATATCTTTCTCCTTTTCAGTCACAACATTCCAGACACATGGGTTTTCTTACTATTCTTTACACAAGCCAAGTAGGTTCCTACCTTAGGGCCTTTACACATACCATTACTTCAGATCTTCTCATGGCTGATTCCTTGTTATCTCTATATCCTAGATTAAATGTTGCCTCCTTAGAGAGGCCTGACCACCTATCTAAAGACTAGCCTCATCTCATGTCATGCTTTACCAAATTTCCCTGCTTTATTATTATTGTTATTGTTATTATTATTATTAGAGAGGGAAGGAGAAAGAGGGGCAGAGAGAGAGACAGAATCTCAAGCAGGCTCCACACCCAGCATGGAGCCTGATGTGGGGCTTGATCTCACAACCCTGAGATCATGACCTGAGCTGAAATTAAGGGTTGAACACTTAACTGACTAAGCCACCCAGGCATCCCTCCCTGCTTTATTATTTTTAGAGTACTTACCGCTACCTGAAACTGTTTATTAACCAGCTTATTTTTTTTAAGATTTTATTTATTTTATTTTAGAGAGAGAGAGGGAGTGAATGAGTGGGGGCAGGGGCAAATGGAGAGGAAGAGGCAGAGAATCTCAAGAAGACTCCAGGCCCAACACAGAGCCCGACCTCACAACCCTGAGATCATGACCTGAGCCAAAACCAACAGTTGGATGCTTAACTGACTGAGCCACCCAGGTGCCCCAACCAGCTTATTTTTATATTGTCCGCTTGGTCCCAAAGAATCTAAGCTCCTTGTGAATAGGAAGTTTGTCAGTTTTGTTCATTGCTGTTCCTCCAGTGTCTAGAACAACGCTTGGCACACAGTAGGTGCTTGGTAAGTGTTTACTGAATAACTATGTGACAGGTGACACGGCTCTTAAGCATTACAAAAGTTTCCAGGAGGACACTATTTCACCACTGTGACGTTCCCTGTCCAAATCCTAGGAGGTACCTTGAAGGCCAACATATGGTCACTTTTGTGCCAAGCTGGAGCAAAGGAATTCTTTCCCAAAGGCAAAGAGTCCCAGCACTTGGATCCAGCCCCTCCCAGGGGTGCCACAGTAACCACCTCTCACTGAGACTCTGACACTGTGACCAGTGTATTTGGGAACACTTGCTGGTCTCCATTTCTTCTGGATCCACAGACCTCTGCTCCTTGTCTCAGAGAAAATCTTGCTACTCTAGCCGCTTCTGCTTCTCACTGTACAAGTCCCTAAGTGGTTATCTTCCCCTGACTCCTAATTTAACAGTTTTAGAAGATTAAATCTTCCCTTACCTATGCCCTAGGGATCAAGGAGGGAAGGGAAGAGAAGCCGTTCTCTTTCCTCCCAATGCTTCCACGCCAGTGAAATCAAAACATAAATTAATCTTACAATAAATTACCCTGCCTTAGCCACTGACATCATCACTAAGGTTGCAAGGGACCTTACCTCCTTGTTGTTGGAGAACAGAGGCTGAAACAAATCTTTGCTAAGGGAGGCTAGAAGTTGAGGCAAAACTTTGATAATGGTTCAGGGGCCAGAAAGGAGAGTCAGTGCCAGAGAATTATGGAAGCCAGACCACGTGGGTCACAGGCCAGGTTCACTCACCCTATATTTAGAATCTTCTTCAGGGCACCTCTCTGCTTTAGCCTCTGCTGTAGCTGCCTGCACCTAAGGGAAAAAGACCCAGAAAATCAAGCCATGGAATTTTCTGCTTCTTAGGTAAAGGGGTAAATATTTTTGAATAAAACAGGTGCCTAGGGTAAATGTTATGAATAAGACAGGTGCCTAGCTTTTCTGTAGTAAGGGGATTCAGGGAGGATATTATTCTCACTGCAATGACAATCACTGTCAAAGCCTCAAAAAGTCCCTTGGAGCCCAGCAGTCTGGTCACTCACTTCTCAAGAAAAGGGATTATATAACCAGTTCAGGGAAGAACCCTGTATTAGTTATCCATTGTTGTGTAACAAACTACCCCCAAACCTAGCAGCTTAAAAAGCCACAAACATTATTTCACAGTCTCTGTATGTCAAATAATTGGAAGCAGTCCAGCTAGATGGTTCTGGATCAGGGCCTTCCATAAGATTAGATGCAAGACGTTGACTGGGGCTGCAGTCATCTGAAGAAGGCTGGACTGGGGCTGGAAGGCATGGCTCCCAGGTGGTCCACTCACATGGCTTATGGCAGGAGGACTCAGCACCCCATTAGCATTTGGCACTGATCATAAAAGAGCTTGAATGGCTATATTAACATGAGACTAAGTAGATTTAAAGAAGTATGTTTAGAGATGAAGATGAACAATTCATAATAACAAAAGTGTCATTCAGCAAAAAGATGTAATAATTATAAATGTGTATATGCCTAATAATGTCAAACAAAATACATGAAGCAAACATGACAGAATGAAAGGTAAAAATAGACAAATTCACTATCAGAGATTTTAACATCCTCTCTCAGTTATTGATAGAACTAAACAAAAAGTAGTAATGACAGAGAAGATCTGAACAACACTATCAACCACCTTGTCTAACTGACTCTTATAAAACACCACGCACAACAACTGCATAATGCATATTCTTTTTAAGTACACACGGAGCATTCACCAAGGTACTGCCATATGCTGGGTCACAAAATTTACTGAAGTCAATAAATTTCAAATGCTTTTCTCTGACTACATGGGAATTAAGCTAGAAGGCAACAATAAAAATAACAGTATATGTTTAAAGGTTTCAAATATTTGGAAATTAACATTCTTCTTCTTTTTTAAAAGATTTTCTTTATTTGAGAGAGAAAGTGAGTGTGAGAGAGAGAGCACAAGCAGGGGGAGGGGGAGGGGCAGAGGGAGAGGGAGAAGCAGACTCCCCACTAAGCAGGGAGCCTGATGTGGGGCTCCATCCCAGGATCCTAGGATCATGACTTCAGCCGAAGGCAGACGCTGAACTGACTGAGACACCCAGGCTCCCCTAAACAACACTCCTCTTGATAACTAATAGGTCAAAGAAGAAATCACATGGGGAATCGGGGAATTAGAAAGCATTTTAAACTATATGAAAATGAAAACATGATGTATCCAAAATTTTGGAATTCAACTAAAGCAGAACTTAGAGGCAAATCTATAATTTTAAATGTTTGTTTTAGGAAACAAAAAAGGCTTACAATAAATTATCTAAGTTTCTACCTTGAGAAGCTAGAAAAAGAAGGGCAATTTAAACCCAAATTAAGTAGAAGGAAAAAATTATAAAGTAGATATCAATGGAATAGAACATGGACAAAACAAGAGAGAACATTAACAAAGCCAAAAGTTAGATGTTTGAAAAATTGATAAATTGGTAAACATTTAGCAAGACTGACAAAGAAAAAAAAAGAGGAAGAGAAAAAAAATTTAATTACTGATTTCAGATATGAAATAGGGGGTTTTCCTCCAGACCTTACATGTATTTAAAGAATAATATTGGAATGTTATGAGCAACTTTATGCCAATAAATCTGATGACTTATATGAAATAGCCAGATTTCTTGAAAGACAAAACTTACCAAAAAAGACAAAAGAGAAAATAGAAGACATGGATGGCTTCATTTCTATGAAAGGACCTATTCACAAATTCACTGGTAAACTCTACCAAATGGTTATGGAAGAAATAATACCAATCTTACAGAGACGGGTATTTCAGGAAACAGAGGAGAAACTCCTCCCAAATCATTTCATAAAGCCAACATAACCTTGATAGAAAGATTTTACAAAAATATTGTAAGAAGAAAATTATAGGCTAATATTGCTCATGAACATAGAGGCAAATATCTTTATCAACATATTAGCAGATCAAATCCAACAAAACGTAAGGAGGATAAAACCAAGTGGGATTTCTCCTGGCCATGGAAGGTTGATATAAAATTTGAAAAATTCAACAATGTAGTTCAGTATTATTAAGAGAATCAAGGAGAAACACCCTATAGTCACCTCAGTAAATGCATAAAGAGCATTTTATAGAATTCAGTACTTATCCATGACAAAATCTAAAGCAAACTAGGAACAGCAGGAACTTCATTAATATAATAAAGGCATCTGCTAAAAATTCTACATCTAACATGATACTTACTTAGAGGAACATTGAACACTTTGCCTTTAAGATCAGGAACAAAGGGAAGATGTTCATCCTCACCACTTCTATTCAATATTGTACAAGATGACCTAGACTATACAGCTAGGCAAGCAAACAAAACAAAACAAAACAAAACATAAAGATTGGAAAGGAAGAAGTAAAACTGATTCTTTATACAAATGAGATGATTATTAATGTAGAAAATCCCAAGGAATCTACCAAAAAAAAAAAAAACCCCAAAACTCAACTACTAAAATTAGTAAATGAAAGATCACTACACAAAATCAATTATATTTCTATACATTAGCAACAAACCATTGGAAAACAAAATAACACTCAGAGTTAACAAGTAAAATACTTAAAAATAAATTTAACAAAAGACATCCAAAGCCTATATTGTTGTCAATTCCCCCAAAACTGACCTATGGATTCACAAACCCAGCAGGTATTTTTTTCAACTGACAAGTCAATTCTAAAATTTACACAGAAATGGAAAGGACCTGGAATAGTAAAAAACAATTTTGAAAAAGAAGGTGGAAAATGTACATTATCTGACTTCAAGACTTACTCTAAAGCAACAGTAATCAAGAAAGTGTGATATTGACATAAAGGTTGATAGACAGATGGATCACTAGAACAGACTAGGGATCAGAGAAATAGCCTTACACTTACATAGTCAGTTTATTTTCAACAAAGGCACCATACCTGATCAATGGTGAAATAAATATTGTGAGTTTTTTTCCTTTTAACAATTGGTGTTGGGGAAGATGGTGGAATAGGAGGACCTTAAGCTTGTCCTGTCCCATGCCCACACTAGATAATACTCACAGCAGCGTAAACAACCCCCGAAACAATCTGAAGACTGGTAGAACAACTGAAGGCTGAGAAGAGGCCACATCAAAGAAGGTAGGAAGGGTGAAGACACAGTCTGGGAGCAAAATGGACCATGGCCATCTGCGGTGGGGAGGAAGCTGGTGGCACGGAGAAGGGCAGAAAACAGACTATCACACCAGAGAGCTCATAAACAGGGAGGATGAATCCTCATAACATTTGCCTTTGAAAGCCAGAGGGGTCAGTTTCATGAGTTCATACAACCAGCAGGATTTAAAGCCTAGGATATTAAAAATCTGCAGGCTCAGCTCTGGGAGAACCTGGAGGGGGTTAGGAAATGGAATCCTTATCCTTAAAGAGATAGCAGGACAAACATCTATGCAGATACAGCATAGACCCAGCAGTCTGACAAATGTCAGGGGCAGACGAGAGGGAGAGTGATTTGCTCATCTCAGAGTGTGGCCCAGAGAGACAGGGATCACCACAGGGAGACCCCTCTAGGAACAAAGGAGCTGGCAGGCATTATTTCCCTCCCATGCAGCTCAGCATAAACATGGGCCACCTGCAGGAAGCAGCACCTCAACAAAACTCTCTACTTTGCACCAAGCCTCGCCCTCCACGCTTCAAGGATCCGCTCACTTCCAGCCATGCTCACTTCAGTCCTGGCACTGCGGGACCCTCCCACAGAAGACCCGTGCAAATCCTGCCAACACCACATCTCTTGGACTTGTGCATTTTGCAGGACCTCAGTTCCCGTGGCAGTGGGGGTATGTCTTGTTTCACAAGCAGACCAACCCACACCTTGTTAAAATGCCTCCCACCCCTGCTGGGGACCAAACACTGCCCAGAAATAGGCAAAGAGAGCCTCTGCAAACAACTAGACTGAAGGAAAATTAGGCCAAGACTCAACAGCAGAGTGTAGGCAACACACATAGGAGATACTCCCTGAAGTGCCAGGCCCTGAGGAACAGGGAACACTGCACTGCAGGGCACTATAGGACCTCTTCTTCATAATGCTGTTATTGTTAAGAGCAAAAAAAGTAGCTGACTTTCCTAACACAAAGAAACACACACAAAAAGTCAGACAAAATGAGGAGACAAAGAAATATCTCCCAGATGAAAGAATAGGACCAAACTACAGCAAGAGACCAAAGTGAAATGGATATAAGTAATATGCCTGATAAAGATTTTAAAGTAATGATCATAAAGATACTCACTGGACTTGAGAAAAGAGTGGGGAACATTAGTGAAACCCTTGACACAGAGATAAAAAAAAGAACCAATCAGAGATCAAGAACACAATAAATGAAATAAGAAATACACTAGATGGAATAAGTAGCAGGCTAGAATAGAGGAATGATTTAATGAACTGGAAGACAGAGTAATAGAAAGTAACCAAGCTGAGCAAAGGAGAGGAAAGAAAATCATGCAAACTAAGAATAGTCTTAGGGAACAACAACAAACAAAACCCAAACCCAGCAAAAGGAAGGAAATAATAAAGAATAGAACAAAAACAAATAATATAGAAACTAAAAAAAATAGGGCACCTAGGTGGCTCAGTTGGTTAAGCATCTGCCTTTGGCTCAGGTCATGATCCCAGGGTCCTGGGATTGAGCCCCGCATTGGGCTCCCTGCTCAGCGAGGAGCCTGCTTCTCCCTCTACC